AACCATGATAAGTTAATTAAAATATATAAAATAAAATGACTATAAGTAAACAATATATTACCTTTACTGTTAAAATAGTACATAATTAAAATATTTCATATAAGGTATTTAAAATAAATAAATTAATTAATCAAATTGTTTTAGATAATGTAGAATTACAAAGTAATAAATTGCGGCTACCGCACTATGACACAACTGTTTAATAACTATGATTTAACCCAAATACGAAATGTTGAGTCTATTGGTAAAAAACTAATCAACGCAAAACGTGCAAAAATATTTAATGAAGTTTGTATCGCTGAGAACCTCGTACCAATATATATATATATATATATATATATATATATATATATATATATATATATATATATATATATATATATATATATATATACAATATTCTATAAATTCTACCGAATGGTAGAATTTATAGAATCATTTGGTAGAATTTATAGAATATTGTAAAAATTATGGTCTATTACCAACATATATATATATATATATATATATATATATATATAATTATTACTATTATTAGAAAATTTATATAGCGTCTTTTAATATTACTCAGAGCTTATTACTATAATAAGCTATGCAAACAGACAGATGGAGTTGCAATGGGCTCCTCATTGGGAGTCCTGTTTGCCAACTTTTACATGGGACATCTGGATGAAAATATATTTCCCAAAAACCCACAATATAAACCTCAACTGTTTGGTCGATACGTAAATGCTATTTTTGTTGATAACATTTTTTTGTAATTGCTTTTATTATGGTCAGAAAATTAATTAACACACAAAACTTGTTTTCGTAAAAAATTATCATATTTTATGTGGCCTCAACCTAACATTCTTCATAACATTAACTTTAATGGCAGCAAAAGCAACATCAATGTCACACACTCATCATACTTTATAATTAACAGCAGATAAAAATTGACTTTGGATAATTATATAATGACGTAAATGCTTCCAGGCCAACGTTCAAGCAATTCTTATGAGTAATACAATAAATGACAAAAATCTGAAAAAATTATATAGTCTGTAAGACAAGTTAAGAAAAAAAATTATCCAATTAATAAAACAACAATTAATTTATACTGTTATTCACATTTAATGTTGATTTTTATTCAGCAGTAATTTGTTGTAAAATATTGAGACGTCAATGTTTTTTGTATTGGGCCCGCAAACGGCTTAATCCGGTTCTTGCTACAGAGCTTTTGTGCAATTTCGTTTATTGATCAGAACGCTTGCAAATAAACCAACTTTTGGTTTCATATTGTTTTTCTACTTTTCGATTATGTACGATGGTGCCTTTAATAATTTGACACATCGCAAGATCACTAAGCATTTTCCGCTAATAATATTTATAGTTATATCACGATTTTAATGACTGTTGTGCAGATTCATTAAAATTGTGCAACTCACAGTTATATCAAATAAAATACTTTAACGTTTTTAAAAGTGTATACTAAATTAGATGTGTAGACTTTTATTTTGTGTTCATGTGTATATTTTTATACTATAGTTCAAACTAAAAATTGAAATATAACATAATAGCTGTCCTCTGCGTAAGTTGCTATACAATTAAACAATGTCTGAACACGTGTAATTATTCATTTGCTTTTCTATATTTGCATATTATACATGCTCACAAAAACTCACACACAATTCCAAAAAATAACGTGCATACTGGTTCAAGTCAGCGCCGCTCAGATGCGCAAAGATCAAAGCAAAAATGACAGATAGCCCCGGGCCACAAAGATTGGAGAGCTACATGTAACGCAAATTAGGTATTAAAATGTTTGACACACCTTTAGGTTTACCAGTACATTGCTTTAAGAGTTTATTCACAATTTTAAACAAGATGTTAGCATCTTGCTTCAATATGCGTGCGCACAACACAGTTTCTTTTAATATTCTTTGAATGAGCTCTGACAGACGCAAAGTCATTGACAAAATACGACGAAAATAATAAAAATGGCCCGGGGCTATCTGTCATTTTTGCTTTGATCTTTGCGCATCTGAGCGGCGCTGACTTGAACCAGTATGCACGTTATTTTTTGGAATTGTGTGTGAGTTTTTGTGAGCATGTATAATATGCAAGTAATGTGTTGAAATGGAAAAAAAATAAAACATAATAATAATAAACAAATTTGTAAAAGAAAAAAACCTATTGAAGAACTAGCATTAGCTTATCATTCATTTGATTTTTGAAAATATGACCTGCAATCTCTGCGTTTGACAGAGTTTTATTTACAGAATATTATTTATTCTGTAAAAGATGAATTTTCAGATTTCTACACGGTTCACAGGTAGTAATTTTTTTGTGCAGGTGGTACTATTTTATCAGGATAAGATTTGCTCAACTTATGTCTATGTCTATTTCACAAATATGTACGTGTTTAAGACTTAATAGTGGCTTCCATAACCAAAGAATCGGGTGAAAAAACATTCAGTAACATCAGAGGCAAAATTAACAAGGAATGCATAAGACGGACAGGCGGACAGCAGTTTGCAGCTCCGCATCGCAAGAATGTCCAGCAGGTGTGAATTTGAACTGCAGAGCCAATTTTACAGCAATTATTTTACAAACGTGCCAAACAATTCAAAAATGAATAAACTCTAATAACATTATTAAATTTAAAGTAAATTGATTATGAGAAACATTAAAAGAACAGACTTGATGTCATCTGTATTAAATTGGTCAAATTCGTCGAAAGAGTCTCCGAGACACGACAGTGTGGGAAAGGTGGTGCAGTTGTTGTTGTCATCCATGTTGTCAAGTCTTGTTGGCGGTTATTTATTTATGAAAGATTAAATATTTTAAAGAGACCTAAAATAGATATTTCAAATGTATTTATTGTTATTTTTAAATGTTTTAAGTTGTCGTTTAAATTATTTTTCAAGCTATTAGAGTATTTTGATTGTTTGTGGTTTTTAGAGTTGAAGAAATTAGTCTCATGGCAGACTGTCAACTACAGGATTTCCAACGTTTCACCGCGTAGCAATGCGATATCTGGTCGCAATGTTTTGAATAAGCATGATGGTGGTTGAAAATCGCCTGTCTCCAGATCAGCAAAAATGGAGACGTTTGGGTTGGCACATGATTTTAACTTGTCGAGGATTATTGCTAAAATTTTGTTGTGTCTAGTTGTGTATCTACCCAATGCCGATGCTTAATAATAATAATATTATTATTGTTATTATTTTTAATAACATTGAGTTGTTATTTAATAAGGCAATGCAATGAATGAAAAAGTAACAAAATCAACAGATGAACAGAAGGTTGTAAAATTCAAAAACCAAAGTGACTCAGAACAACCATGGAACAGGGATTGTTGTTAAATAAAATAGTAAAGACTATTGTAATAGTCCATTTTTGTGTGGAGAAATAAATATACAAAGCATGTATGTATGTGTACACGTGTGTATGTATGTATGTATAGAGAAACTCGAACATAACGAGCGTTTGGCAAGAATCTTCAGAGGAAGAATTTCCTTCTACGAGTGTTTAAGTTTTTTAACTTACTGACACTTTTGAAACAAGGACATATCCAGTGATCAGTTAGATGTCTTTGACTGAACAAACAATTTGCCTCGCTTTGAAATCACCTCTTTTTATACTGAAAAATTTTTTAGGCGGTGCCAGAAAGTTTACATATCACGATGCGAGTTAAAACGACAAGAGTAATTGGGAAACAAAATTTTGTAGGCGTGCCAAAAAGTTTACATATCACGATGCGAGTTAAATCGACGAGCCAAGTAACACGTTAAACTGAATCTGAGAGTGTTGAGTAATTGGAAGCTTCACGTGTTTACAAGCTTGTCTGTTAAATATTTATACTCGCATTCCTTTTTCTTCCTACATAACCGTATCCACAATTTGGCTGTATGTCCTATGTTCTTCAGACAACTCGATCGTCTTTTACCCGCCAAACATAAATCTTTCAAAAAGCTGTACAACAAACATTTTAACACGTTGTTTTATCTTACTAACTAGCTCAACTTTTTTAGCGTGACTTGTTTCTATATTAATTTCATGCAAAACAGTCAGTTCGACTAAAATAACAGTGTCTACTGATAACGACTGTACTATTACATTGAGTCTCGTTCCTGTATTCTTTATAAATGATGGGTAGTTCTTCATGCCCTCGAAATCTGCCATGACCTTCTAACCTCTGCCGTTATGAAAAAACTTCCTTGGTTCATTTTTCGTGGTTTGATACAACTTAACCTTTCTTCAACTTAACTTGAATTTGCCTCGTCACAAACATTAAAAATGAGTTCCACTAGTACTTTTAATATTTTGTTGTGCCTTTATGTATAAACGTCTATGACTGAGTGCGTACTTGCATGAAGCCATTATGTGAGCCACTAGGCATGTGAAAATGTTAAAACAAAACCATTGATGAGTGACACTAAACATTCAAACATCCAAATAAAACTTAGTAATTGACATCTCGTAACTCGCTCACGTCAAGGATTAATTGAATATATTCTGCAACACAAACACAAAACAAGAAATGTGGTTCATAACAAAAATAACTCTCTGCTATTGCCCAACCTAACACTTATTAAGTGTTGTTGTCCATCAGGCCAAGGACCTCGATGCAAACAGGCAAAAATTCCAACGAGGACAGAGCACGATCATATTTGTTAATCTTTTCATGCGATGCCCTGGTTGCAACCAAACTACTTTCATTGCAGTTAGGTGCACATAGCGTTCCGCTAAAGTGCCCGGAACAGTGACGTTCTACGCCAAACACCTACTAGCTCTCCAAAGGATCAATGTACAACTGTCGGGGCGCTTACAATCATGCGCGAAATTTCGCGACGGCTCTTTAAGATCAGGTACTGAGGCCTTGGAGAAGAGCCGGCAGATGTAATCGTATTATGCGGAATGGCTTAGCTGACGGCCGCCACCCAAACGACAGACCAGAGCGTGGTGACTAAGTTCGTTGGCCTCCGACCACATTTGCACACATACTTTTTCTGGGAACCGTTAAATCTAGACAAAAACCAATTGCCATCCTGACCGTCTCATCATCTAGTCGAGTACCAACCGGTGTGTTGGGCCGTGATCTTAACCAACCGCAGCTCACGTCGCTAGACATTGAAAGTAGACAAACAGAAGTAGCATCGTCGGGACTGGCAGACAGCAAGTATTGAAAAATAGTTTTGTATGCCTCTTCCAGTGATTGAGCTTGAAAATTTATGCTTCCATTGGGTGAACCAGGTGGGGTACTAAATATCGTGGAAAATTGCCGTAGCAAGGCAGACTGCAGTTTAATCGTTGTGAAGGCAGATGATTTGTAAACAATAGGTGCCAGCTAAACCATGCTTTACATTCTCAGTACTCCAAACTTGATCGGCAACTGAGCCCGAGACCAGCCCCTATCGAAAAACTTAACATTGCAGTTAGCCGACAGAGCTGACCTCAGTGCGCCATCAAATTTGCCCAAAACGGTGACATTAACAAAAATGGATGTACGTAGAAAATGTACGCTGCGGATGATGATCAGAGCGTCGTGGATCGAAGAATGAGACACACGGTCGAAGGCGATTTTAACTCTGCGAGTTTTTTATAAAAAAGTTTGTTGAAACTCACCCTCCATCAGTAGGGTGCCCAAAAAATTTAAGGATGACTGCGACATTGAAGGCAGTGCTTCTGGCATTTCAAAAGTGTCGCTCACATACAACTTACACTTCTTAGTTTTGAACTCAAACCCAATGATGGATGGAGGCATTGTCTCTCAAAAACAAAAAATCTGCAGCCAAAACTTCTCCCACGGCAGCCGAACTGAAGTTGTCCAGGTAGCCGCAAACGAATTTTGATAGAAATTTTTCTTACACTAGATGAAAGGTTCAGAGCTAACTACATCAACCCCAAAGGGTTACCCTGTTGCACCCCCTTGGACGATTTCACCACCCAAGTGTGATAATTGAGAGAAGAATTTTGACCATATGCCGAATAACAATAATTAACCTTCGTTGGTGAGTGCGGTGCGGAAAGACAAACGCGAAGGTCCTGTAGACCCGACCGCATGTTGGTCGACCGCCCGTTTTTATGGAACTAGGGCATTCTAGTTCCTTCTCCTTTTCCTCGTGCTGTGGTAGCTTCCCGGCTGGTTTTAATTCGTAGTGATTGAAACAAAATATGCGTTTATGTAATACCGGAGCCATAATTAAATTTAAAAAAAAGAACTATAAATAAAACTGAAGAGAAAACTATTAACACTGTTAAAAGTTAAAAACAAAAGTATTGAACAATGGTGTACATATGAAACACGAACAGCAGAACTAGCTGACAGCCAGCTGGTGCTGTACGCTGTTTAATATTAATGAGATAAAACTTTAGTAAAAAAAAAGAAGATTTTTATAAAGACTGCCATAGCCAGAGGTGGTGATGAAGGTAAGCTCTCATCCCAGTTTAAACACCCTCATGGCTTGCGTCTCAAATAACCTCTGACAGTCAGAGTCCAACTCCTGGCCTTCTCGTGGCGAAAATGTTTAAACTAACAGGAGGAGGGCCGAAGGTAGTAACTAGCGCCTTAAAACTTGTCGCTTTAGGTTGATTGGGCTCAATACAAACCCATCTAAAAAAGGTAAACTTTGATTTCAAACATCCATTGCCTTGTGGCTATACCCTTTCTAAGGATAGGCTAACCCTAATAGAAAATAAAGCGTGGCAGTGCGTCTTTAAAACAATTCGGTTGCTTCAGTCTCTACTCTGCTTGCTACCTACCCACGTTTGTCTGGCAAACAACTTAAACAATTAAGCCAAAATGTTGTCCACATGGAGTCGTCTCAAAAAACCTTATATAACATCGATCGTCACGCTGGTTAAAGGATCGGTTATCTCGGTTATCGTAAGCCGGATGTGATAAACGGACTACGGCAAACAACTTTATTTATGACCCCTCTTTACGGCCCCGTGCTGAAGCCAACCCGCTTGATCTGCAAAACACCACCAGGATCGGCTCTTGGAGTATTCAATCACTTTGCGAAACGGGTGGCGCCAAGATCCTCGTGGACGAATTGTCGCGATACGGCATATGCATTATAGGCCTGCAGGAAATTTGATGGCATGGCGCTGGTGAACTGCGTATTGCTGATTTCAATATATTGTCGCCGTGCCCAGCTGAGTTTCATCCCAGGCTCGCTGATGTTGACTTGGCCTTGAGCAATCAGATTAATCGTGCACTGATTGAATGGCACCCAATCAGTGAAAGGCTGATGGTTGCTCGTTTCAGACATAGATATAGTATGTCTGTACTATGTCAGTAATTTTTGCTACGCGCCAACTAATGAAGCGACGGCTGAGGCTAAAGATCTCTTTTACAACGTACTGGAAGACTCGTTTTGCTTCACCAGACTCATCATTTGCCTGGGCGACTTCAACGCGGTAACGGGTGTTGACCGTCGTATGCCTGCGGTGGTTAGCCCTTTTGGTAGCGAATCACCAAACGACAACTCTGATCGTTTCCTGAAATTTTGTGCCTCTGTGAGATTAAGGGTCTGCGGATCCTGGTTTTACCGTAAGGATATCCATAGACTGACGTGGCACTCAAATGACGGTGTTACGGCTAAGGAGGTTGACCATATCCTGGTAAACAGCAGGTGGCGGGCGGTTCGTGCTGTCGTGTGTATCGTGGCATGGAGTTTGATACTAATCATTCTTCGGTGGTGGGCATTTTAGCCATCTTTTTTAAGGACACTGTGATTAAAACAAGACCTCCTCCTAGATTCAATATCGGTTTTCTGCGAGATTACGTCACTGCCGCAACATACGCGGCTGAGGTGGAGAAGTGTTTCGTCGCAGCCTCTGAAGAGGAGTTCTCCTCGTGGAATTCATTTTGTGATGCGATGACCAAGATGGCTGATAAGGCTCTTGATCATGATGTTCCCATGCGTCATGAATAAATTTCAACCGCAACAAGGCGACTGATCAAATCGAAACGACAGGCTAGACATAGTGACATAAAAGAAATCGCTCGTTCTCTACATAGGGAGTGCAAGAGACGGTTGCGTATGGATCGTCAGGCTTGGGCGGACAAATTGGCGGCGGATGGTAAAGTGGCCTAGCTGAATGGACGGACAAAGGAGGTTTTTGGTCATTTCCGAAAACTTAGATTGACAATTCTGGCCGTCTCTAGCCCTATTCTCAATTATACTGGCCGGTTGATTAGTGACGGAAGCTGAAAGCTAGAAAGATGGCGAGAATACTACAGACAGTTGCTCAACCGCTCAATGTCTGCGCCCTTGTTGGAATTGCCGGATTCAGGTGGACCTACATGTGCTAGTTAGTGAAGGATCGCTCCGTGATTGTAAAAACTATAGAAGCATTACTTTGCTGTCAGTTCCAGGCAAGGTGTTTGCTCGCGTCCTTCTTGATCGTCTTGGCGCCGTGGAGAGCAGAGTGGCTTCACGCCTGGTAGGTCTACCATTGACAAGATATTCACGCTCTCACTTCTTCTACAGATCAGACGTAAATTTGGTAGACCTCTATGGAATGTCTACGTTGATTTGAGAACGGCAGGGATGCTATGTGGCTGTGGTTCCGCTCAGTGGAGAAAGACCTGTCCTTATCAACTACGGTCCTTACTCCGCCTGGAGACTTGCTCATGATCGCTTGAAATGGAGGCACCTTGTGAAAACGGCAACGTTCCGATATGGGGCACGCCCATAATAATAATAATAATAATAATAATAGTAATAATAAATAGCTATCAACCAAAAACAGCGGAAAAAATCCGAAAAACAAAAAAAACACCCTCGCAATACAAGCAACTAAAGTTATCAAAAGCCAGTAAACTATAAGAACTCAAAACTTTGATAATTTATAATGTTGCAGTAAATATTTCAATCCGGCCTGACTTAATCGAGCTAACAAGTAGTGTGTATGCATGTATGTATGTGTGAGTGTGTGCATATGTATGTATGTCTGTTTGTATGTATGTATATTACTGTTATTGCATACAATATTGCTGTTAACATTTTTCTGAAATATGTTACCTCCACCATTTCTAAATTCTGTCTTTAAACTCAAGTCACTAAGAAAAAATTCAAAAAACCATGGTTCACAAATGAGCTACTAAAATTGTCTAAACTTAAAAATAATCTTTACAAAAAATTTTTAAAAGTCTAACTGATTTTAATAACCAATATTATTTAATTCATAAAAACAATTTTCTAAAAGTAAAAAGACAATCAATTGCTTTATTTTTTAAAAATGAATTTATAGCTTGCCATAATAACATAAAAAAAACTTGGAAAATAATAAATGGTTTACTAAATAAAAACATCATCTCTAAACCAGTTGGTACTTTAAATCATAATGGTGATATTTTTCATTTGGGTAATTTGATCGCCAACACATTTAATAAATATTTTACCAACTCCAGAGTTGTACCGGCTGTAGAAATCAACAATTGTAATTTTCTTAGTTCTATGCCACCTTCCACATGTTCGTCCATCTTTTTCTGTGAAACCAATGAGCTTGAAATGTTAAAAATTGTTTCTAAATTAAAAATTCACATTCGTCTGGCCACGATGGTATTCATAACTACATCATTAAAAACATAATTAATTCAGTTGTAAAGCCACTAACATATTGCATTAATTTATATATTATCTCAGGAATTGTGCCTAATGGTCTTAAAAATTACAAAGGTTATTCCAGTTCACAAAAAAGGTTCTAGGTTCCTCAGATTTTGTATTAAACTATCGTCCTATATCATTAGGGTCGTCTTTGTTAAAAATCACGGAGAAAATTATATGTGGTAGTATTACGTCGTTTTTAAATAAATTTCAGAATTTGTCTCCTTGCCAGTTCGGTTTCCGAACTTGTTATTTTAGACTTAACACTTTATGTTTGTAGTAACATCGATTTAAAACGACACACCATTGGTACGTTTATTGATATATAAAAAAAAGCATTTGACACTGTCGATCATGAGTTGTTGTTAACGAAAATGTCGTATTATGGAATTAGAGGACCTTTGTTAAAATGGTTTCAAAGTTGCCTTGCAAATCGATCTCAATATGTTGTTATAGGTAAACATCATTTTTCCTCGTTGCCTATTGTCTCTGGAGTGCCTCAGGGTTCTGTACTGGACCCTGTTTTTTCTAATATATTTATCAATGATCTATGGAGATCGACTAAGGCTGTAAGTATATTATGTATGCGGATGACATTTTGGCGGCTGGCGATTCCATAGGTGAAGTTGAATGTATTCTTAACTCAGAGCTCGCAAGAGGTCACTTATGGATGATAAATAATAAACTGTAAATTAATTTATCAAAAACTTATGCGATTCTTTTTCGTCCTAAAATTGTCACCAATTTACTAACATGTGTTACAATCTCATGCAACCTAAATTGGAAAGAGCACACAATTAGCATATCATACAAAGTATCTAAAAATCTAGGAATAATCTATAGACTAAAATATCTTTTACCGAAACGTATATTACTTAATTTATATTATTCTCTTATTTATTCTTATTTCACTTATTGTATTGTAGTTTGGGGTCGTTACATTAAGTCTCATATTATTATCTTACATAGATGTTTATACTTATTTATTCGTATTTATTATGACCTGAAAAAATATGATCATATTTCAGATTATTTATCGTTGTCTAACTTGTTGTCTATTCCTAAACTGTACGTTCTCAGATTATTATTATTCTTGTTTAATGTTATAGTTAAGAAGAAATTTGTTGTGTTTAATTCATATTTAATTAAATCTTATGAATATTGCCAAAGAACTACTCGGCACACTCCATTATACATTTGTATTGTCCCTCGTCGTACTGTTTTATTTTCATCTTCAGTTTGTGTTTTTGGCTTAAAACTGTGGTAAAAATTACCGTGTTTAGTTTTACAAGTATCTAACTATGGGCTATTTAAAAATCGATTTTTGACTTAATTAAAAATAACTTTTTTATTACAGGATATGATTTAATTATTTCAATTATTTAAGTTATTTTATAAAGAAAAACTTTTAATATGAATTCAATTGTTTTCTTTAACTTGTTTTTATTTGGTTTGGGTTGGGTGGCCTTACAAGCTCGTTTGAGCTTCTGTGTCTCCATGCTTTTTGCTGAATAAATTGAATTGAATTGAATGTATGTATGTATGTGTGTCTCTGTGTGTCTGTGTGTCTGTTTGTATGTATGTATATATGTATGTATGCATGCATGAATGTATATATATATGTTTGTATATAAGTATCAAATCAAATATTGTATTTATATAGCGCCAATTATAATTGCTTCTCATCAGCGCTCTCCTCGTATGAAGCATGTTGAAAGCGAGCCATTATCGGTTGAGATCACTAGGAGTTACCAAATAGGTATGTCTTTAGACGTTTTCTAAACTCAGCTAATGATAACCCGGATTTACGTAATTCGATAGGTAGGCTGTTCCAAAAAATAGGCCCTGCAACTGCAAAATCTCTATCTGCTGTTTTCAGATTCCGATCTCTAACATACAGCGTGTTTGAATCAGCAGACCTTAGACGCCCATGTGATGACATAGATGAAACTCGAATACACTTATCTTCTAAATATTTCGGAGCCAGGCCATTTAAACTTTTAAATACCATTACACCCAACTTGAACATGATTCTTTGTTTAACACGCAGCCAATGCAACTCCTTTAGAATTGGTGATGCATGATCAAATTTTAATTTGCGATATATCATTCTAGCAGCCTGATTCTGTACCATCTGAAATTTAGACAACAGTTTATTAGCTATGCCATATAGAAAACTGTTACAATAATCCAATCTAGAGTTGACGAAAGCATGTACTAATAGAGTCATTGTATCTCTATCTATCGATTTTGTGACTTGACGTAATTGACGTAGCTGGAACATACATTTTTTAACCAATAGACTGACTTGTGGACCCATTGTCATACGGGAGTCTATCACAATTCCCAAATTGGTTACCGTATTACTGAAACTTATATCAGTCATGCTGATGTTAATCGATGAAGGTTCAACCGCAAATCTGCATGTCATCTGCGTACCCATGGCAATAATAACCATCTTTATTCAGTAAATCCAATATCTCTGCAACGTACACATTAAAAAGAATCGGACTAAAAACAGATCCTTGAGGCACTCCTGACGTAAGTTTCATTGGTTCCGAGAGACCACCTGAGTAAGAAATCTGCTGAGTCCGACCAGTAAGAAATGATTCGAACCACGCTAACGCAATTTTATTTAAACCATAACAATATTTCAGTCTGTCCAGCAGGATTTTATGATTCACAGTATCGAACGCCGAACTCATGTCCAGGAATGTCAATAAAGTTACTTATTGTACATTAACTGCTGAATAAACATGAGAGAATATATCCGATAGAGCTGTTTCGGTCGAATGAAACCTTCTGTATCCAGATTGATGCGAAGGCCAAATACCATTTTTATTTATATGATTATTTAAAACTAACTCAACGGAACGTTCAATAATATTAGAAACGAAAGACAAATTTGACACCGGCCTATAGTTTATCAGATCTGATTTATCTAATCCTGTCTTCTTTAGAATTGGCGTGACAATTGCATGCTTGCAGACCTGTGGCATTACACCCTTCGTTAAGAACATGTTGATTAAGTCCGTTAAGTAAACAATAAAACAGTCAGCATATTTTTTGAATACATGCGTCGGTATTGGGTCGAGTGAGCATGACTTCGTAGGTGACGAATTAACAACTTTAGATATCTGTTCTTCAGCCAGCACTGGAAACGATTCGAGTGGAAACATAATATTAGTAGAAATAACTGAAAAATTAAAACATTCAGTTGACTTTTCGGTCACTTTCAACTTGTCAGCAAAAAATTTTTTAAAATCATTTGGCGCTATGCATTGAACCAACTTCATTTTCAACACTTGTCTCTTTTCCTAATAATTTATTAATCGTTTGCCATAAGTATTTGGAATTATTTTTAAATTGACATGTTTCCATCGAACTTCATGAAGTGGAGCAACATCGTCAGCAATTTTTAAAAGCTCTTCATTGAATATTTTAAAACCCAATTCGACATCATCATCCTGACCATAATGTTTCGAGATAGGTGAGCACCTCAAAAGCTCAGTCAGACGTTTTTTATCCACTCGTTTCCAGGATCTGATCCACGATTTCTTGAAAATGACTGGAGTCGGATTATTTAAAAATTGACCAGTTACTAAACCATGATCTGAATGGATACCAGATGGGTACACCAATATATCTTCTAACAAAAACCATCCGATGTGACAATCAAATCCAGGGTACCACCAAGCACATGGGTAGACTGATTGATTCTATTGACAAGATCAAAACTAGAGAAAATATCAGCAAGGGCTGTTGCATATATATCTGACGAAGTTTCTACGTGTATGTTGAAGTCACCTGCAACTACAATACTGCAACATAAAAGTGTGATTTGTTCTAAAACTAAAATTAATTCTTCAAAAAATAATTTAGCAGGAGGAGCAGAACCTGGCCTATAAATCACCAAAAAAATACTGAAGTTTTTCGTAACGTCAATTTAAAACATATCGCTTCAAATGTAATTATCACTGGCAATAGAATTTTTACACATTTAAAGTGGTTTCTGAAATACGTTACCAAACCACCATGCCCAGGATCATTTAGCTTAACTTGTTCCAAAAAACTAAAATCACGTGGTTTTGCCAAACTAAAACAAATATTATCAGATGATTTATGCCAAGTTTCTGTAAGCATCAAAACATCCAAGCCATCATTGAGCAGCCCATAAACATCATCAACATTTGGACCCAAAAATCTAATGTTTAACAGACCCACCATAATTTTATTGACATTACCAGAAGAGTTGAAAACCATAGACGCACAATCAGAGCTAATATGCTTTAGTTTTTTATTGGATATTTCTGTATTTTTATTATTCTCAAATTTGACGGATCTCCCCTCACCCTATACAAAAATACCCCCGACTCCTGTTTCTGTTTATCTTTTGCTTCAGCTACCAGTTTTTTACATTTCTCACGCTGTTCTTTAGTGAAGTCATGGCTTATGCTGACATTTTTTAATTCATCACTCAATTGTTTCATCCTCACACAATTTTCCATTATCATGTTTTTCCTAGACTTTTCTTTAAACTCGATCAACATCGGACGTGGGTTGTCACCTTTTTTGCCAATTCTGTACATTTTCTTAATATCACTTTCCTTGATTTCATCATTTGTAATGACTGAAAGCAAATTTATAACAATTTTTTTATCATCATTGCGAGCATCAGCAGAGTTAGTTTCAGCTTCACTGAGCCTTAATAACACAACATTGCACTCACGGTTTATTGTTTCGACGTGGTTTTTAATTGATTTGACGACATTGTTCAGAGCCACCGTAGTCGATTTAACTTCTTCTTTGATGGTTCCCTTTACAACTTCAGTCCAATTCTTTTTCAAACCCCCTTCAACATCATTAATCTGCGTGTTTACATTTGTTACCGACTTATCAAATTCATCAATTTTGTTGGCCATTTCACTTAACTTTGCGTCAATTGAAGCCAACTCACGACGAAAAGAACTTTGCTCATCAGTAAGCTTATCTTGGTTACAGATTATTTCATTTTGGGATTTTTGCAGATCACAAATCTTTTTAAAACCTTCTTTAATGTCTTTAACGCAGCTATTGCAGAGCCAAAATAAATTTGGATCGGATACTACTGCTGTCAAGACTTGAGCATCGGTCGGAATACATTTGATGTGGTAGCCATATGTGGTATATGCCACAACAAATTAACTCTTTGTTACTTTCTTTGATTTTAACTTTGCATTTGTTGCATTTATCTTTCGACATATTCAACAGTAAAGTATGTATGTATGTATGTATGTATGTGTGTGTGTGTGTGTGTGTGTATGTATGTATGTATGTATGTATGTATGTATGTATGTATGTATGTATGTATGTATGTATGTATGTATGTATGTATGTATGTATGTATGTATGTATGTATGTATGTATGTATGTATGTATGTATGTATGTATGTATGTATGTATGTATGTATGTATGTATGTATGTATGTATGTATGAATAGATAACAATGACACTAGTTTACTAATGTAAACTTTTCAAATTTTCAGTGTTAGAGATGTACCAAATGTTTACATCAACATCATCTTCCTTCAAATTAGAAACTTCAGCATGCACAAACGTACACTCTTCACTCAAGATGGTCGACTTTGTAGAAGCCAGCAACAAACTGATCGACCTAATGAAATTTTTTTTAATTATTTCCATCATCATCTTGTGCTCCTTACATTGCTCTGATGAAATTTTTATTTTAATCGCAAGGGGAATACAGTTTGTTGTGGAGCCAGAAAAAGTTGTTTGTGATATTTGTGGTGATTTCAGCTGCTTCAGCACTCAAACTACAAAAGAGAAGTTGGAAAGCGAAACGAAAAAACAAAATTATTCTCCTAGCTTTTTGGTATCAGAGTCTGACAATAAAAATTATAAACAGGACCCGAAGACAAACATTAATTTATCTAATTCAATGAACGCCAGCACGAACTTGTTAATTTTAAATGTAAATAATAACATTCGACGAACAAATGAAGTTGTGTTAAATGAAGTGAACATCAACAACAACAATAAAATTTTCTCGTCAACTTTGAACATCAGTAATAGATTCATCGAAACCAAAGTGTAAATATTTGCCTGATTCTAATTTTTGAAACTTGTGTTAGGTGTTTTTTAATTTAATTATGCAGCGCGATTTCTAGTTATTTAAAATTTTTGCAAATTCTTAACAAATACTGAAGATTTATTTATTAAACATTAAAACAAATAATTCTACAATTGAAGATTATATTTTTTATTCATTATAATAAATATTTGACAGTTATAAGAACTCAGAGATAATTAATTTTAAAAAAATGCAACTATTCGTAACAGTGTCATGAAGTAATAAAGGACGTAGATGGATTATCATTTGGTTACCAAAATATAATTGAGAATAATAAATAGCTGAATTACATGGATAGATTTTCAGCTTTTTGTATTGATGTAATACATTAATTTTATATATATATATATATATATGTTTGTTTATATATATATATATGTTTGTTTATATATATATATATATATATATATATATATATATATAATGCAATTAGTTAACTTCCAATTTAACCGTTTGATGTTTCTAACAGTTGACCGTAAATCATTTTCAAGTTTCTTTAGTTAAATACCAAAATTTTTGTTTATTTTATGCATGATAGAACAGAAAAGCTTTTTTGGTATTTCTATACCATCTTCGGTGTTCAATTTGATACATTGTGTATGTGCCCAGATGCCCAACTATATATATACTGTGCCTCTACTTTGTTGATTCCGTGTTTGTTTAAAGTGAAAACTTAACGCTCATTTAATTAGTTTTACAATCAATTTCGTTAAATTCAACTTCGTTAAATATAACACTTTAACGTTTTTTCAATATCGATGATTCCTCTGTTTCTAAATTTATTGGTGGTTTATTTATTGTAGTTTATTATTGCTTGTTTTTGAATATTTATTATCGGATGTCTATGTTCTATGAGTATTGATTCGGCCAGTCGTAAATTATTAGGTTGTTAATGTAATGTAAGATTTCAACGTTGTGGTCCAAGATTTGTCTTGTAATTTTAGTTTTGTGTTTCTCTTTCATGTGATTCTCTTTCATGTTTGAGCATCTGGGCACATATGCAATATATCAATTTGAACGTCGAAAAAAGATTTTCTGTTCTATCATGCATGAAATAAACAAAAATTTTGGTTTTTAACTAAAAAAATTTGAAAATGATTTACGATCAACCGTTAGAAAAATCGAAAAGTTAAAGTGGAAGTTAACTAACGCCAAACGTGCTGTAGATTTTCATCAATAATTGCATATATATATATATATATATATATATATGTATATATATATATATACCTCTTGAATATATATATATAAAAAACTTTTAATACCTCCTGAATATATATATATATATATATGCATATATATAATGGGGCCAAACAATTTTAAACATGATAGAACAGAAGAGCTTTTTCTGGTATTCCTATACCATCTTCAGTGTTCGAAAAGATACGTTGTGTATGGGGCCAAACAATAGACTTTAAACAATCAAAGAGTTAACAGTGTAGAGACACAGTATATATATATATATACTTGAACTTTTCTGTTCTATCATGCTTAAAATAAATAAAAATTTTGGTTTCGAAGTCAATAAACTTGACAGTGATTTACAATCGACCGTTAGAAAAATTAAACAGGAAGCTAAGGCGGAGCCTGCTGTGATTTTGATCAATAATAACATTTCTGACAGTCTTAATCCAATATATATATATATATATATATATATATATATATATATATTTCGATTTATTCGGAATCGAAATTTGGCCTTATTTGCAGCATGAATTCAGAAAATAAACTTATTCTCCGAATTCATGCCGCAAATAAGGCGGTATTTCGATTCCGAATGAATCATCACCAGTGCAAGTTGGTTTATATAGGGAAATATTCACTTTGTGAAAGTGAACTTAGATGGAAATTAGGTGTCACTGACTCGTTTTGAGATTTATAAACGCCAAGTATAGAGAGAATTCAAATGACTCTTTTTAACTCTTCAAATCTATAGTTTTCCAAGCATTTGCATTTTTACCTTTGGATTTTATTTTAAAAAGGCCAAACAGGTTAGTATGTGAAACAATCATTTGCAACATGCAATCATCAAAGAAGCCTTTAAACGCTTCTACTTTGTTTTCAATAATTTTTCAGCTCCGATTGGACCTTCCTAGTTATGACTAACGTTTGCGGCTCACTCGGGAGGTTAGAGGGGGATTTGCATCCCATATTTTACTACCATCCTTACTGATATGTGATGCAGAAACTTTATGTTTATTTCCTGATTGAGGATGCTGTTTTCTTGGTTGTTTATCATTCTCATCGTCACTAGATTTTTATGAATCGGTGTCATATTCTTTAAAAATAAAACTGGCAGTTTATAAAAGAGTTAACATATCTTCATCAGAATCAATTAACTCATTAATGCTAAAGATTTCACTAGTTTCTGAGTCGGCACTCTCTTTGTTTGTCACCCATTTACTAATTTGTTCAATAGCCTCCTTGGCAGATAATCGTTTTGACATAACCGCAGCGTAATATATTTAAAAAAAATCAAAATAAAACAATTGCACAAACATGTTATAATTCACTCTCAAAAAAATTTGCACGTCGTTTTTATAGCCAGTGTGTTTCGAAATAAGTTGACGAAAGTTTTATAGGCATGTCTAGTTATGTTTTACAAGCGATAACGAAACGTATGACGTAAACTTTCTATGAAATGCTTATTTTTGCTTATCGACCCATGTTATGTAATAGTGTTTGTCAAATACGTTATGCAATTAAGGGTTAATTTTGATTGTTGAAGAAATGTTATAGAATAAACTCGTCGTTTGATCTCGTTGTAAATGTTACAAAGAGAGTTCGACAAATATATCCTTAGCTAAATTCCGTGCTAATCAGATAAAAAAGATCAAAATACTAATTCGTTGCCTAACTTAAAATGTAGTTTTTTTGGTACTTCAAATTATTGAAGGCATCTTTCTTCAGACACAATTTTTATTTTCATTTTTTGTACATTTTGTATGCTATATTCAATTTTGAATTATTAATATAGAATAAAAATGTATAGAATTAAATTCGAATATAAAGAAAACAAATCTTAATAAGTTAATTATTACAAATAAAATTTTTAATTTCAGTATGTTTTGCAGTAGACATGAACACATGAACTAAGAACATGCGCACACAAAAAGAAACACACGTACACATTTACGTACACATACACACACACACACTTACCTTACGTACACACTCTCTCTCACACACATATTGTGTATATATATATATATATATATATATATATGTATATATATATACATATATATATATACATATATATATAGAGTCAATCGACACACACATGCAGTTACGGTCGGCCAGTACGAAAACGTAATGTACACCATCGACCAAAGGTGAATGACAATAACACACACATAACATCCAACTCGTTCTAGGCCGGCTAGACCTGTTTTGTCCTTATTGGCACCTATCAATAACACGTGTTGAAACAAGAACATAATGCATTTATTATTTTAGTAGATAATATTGCAAACGAAGGTATTATTAGGTAATTCACAAAACACATTTTAGTCGCTAGAGACGTACTCTGTTAAATAAAAGAAAAATCAAAATATCTGTATCTGCATTAGCAGGTCGATTATTTTAACCCATATTTTGTACTTATTTTTTGATTTTTTTTTCTTCGGAAGAGTAACAGAAGGTATCTAGCAAATAAATTGTGTTTTGTGAACGACCTAAAAAATCACCTTAATTTGAGATAGTAAATGCACTAAGTTTGTGTTTTAGCTCGGGCTACTGATAACACGTCTAGCCTACGAGTTAAGATGTCCGCAGTAACCCGCCTTGGTCGTGGTGACAAACGGTGTACGTTGTGTACACGTAATGGCTGACAGTGTCTGCTTTTGTATAAATTCTACAGAATTGTTGGCATTAATCAATTTAAAGATATACAATACTTTATATAATATGGTCTTTTTCCTATATATATATATTATAAATATATATCATATATATATAACTTCATTAAGTCCACGGGCCTGATAGCATTTGACGATTTTGTATACAAAACATATATTATTTAAATATGTATGTGTATTCCGAAAATCAAAAAATAGCAATAAATGAAAATAGTAACAACACGTTGCAAACATCCTTAACAATTAAAGGTAACCAGTGTTGTCGAGAAAATAATATAAATACATGTACGTTCTAGAATACATTCTTGTTTTGACAACAAAATTCGTCAATAAACTCACGAAATTAATAAAAAATATTCTGTTTTACTTCAATATTGTATTTAACAATTTACCCACAGTTCCAAAAATAGCTTGCACGCACAATTATATAAAAAAATATTTAAGTTTAACAAAAATTTAAAAATAATAAGAATGTTCAACATTCGTCGTAGAATTGGTAGTGGATTGGTTGTACTTCGTGTGCTGCTTGAAGCTGCTGCATATTCATGTTGTTGGTGGTGCTGCTGTTGTTGTTGTAATTATTATTATTGCTGTTGCAGATGTTGTTGAAATTTGAAAAAGTGGAGGGTGCGTTTTGCTTTTTAAATTCGGTTGATTGGGTTAACAAAGGAGGATGTTGATGCACGGATTGTTGATGAAAAATATGTTGCTGCTGTTGCTGCAATATTTGTTGTTGTTGCTGCAAAAGTCTTTGTTGCAACATAATTTGATTGTTGCTGCTGTTTGATTGAATGCTGGAGTTGGTAACCTCACTCGATGTTATCGATGACATCGTTGGTCGCATGAAATATTGCTGTTGTTGCAGTGAGTTGTTCTGAGGAATTATTTGTTGCGGATCAAAGTTAGTTTCTCTTCGGGCTGTATTTGAATTTTTATAAAAATTATAATCATTTGCATTGTTGTAAGAATTTATTGGCTGTTGCATCAAAAAATTATTGTTGTTGATGTAGTTGTTGTTGGATGGTGAAGGTTTCTTGCCGTCGCGACTCCAAAGGGTAGGCGATTTGTTTCTTCGTCGCCGCACGATGCACACCACAACAAACACAAAAAGAAGAGCCAATAGACTGGCCGTTACAATGAACAACAGTGTTGAATGGAAAGTGTTGTCTGCAAATAATAAAAATTTCATTCAATCATATCTCTGCATAAACAGAAACAATGTCGATTAGTGCAGAGTCAGTGAATTCTAAGATTGGTTAACTTCTTGAAAAAATAATGAAAGTACAACGTTGCATTCAATCTTTTGTAAATATACAAAAACATGAACAAAAATTGAGCAAAAGCATAATAGACAACAGGCACTGCAAGTACACGGGGAGGACACTCCACTTCGCCAACAGCCAAATGCATTTATTTGCTCACCCAATGAACATAAAATAAGAAAAATTCACTCACCGTTTTTAGGATCAAAAACGGTCAAATGAACAAATTGATAAGAAACAGTTTTTCGATTGGACGCCTGGCAAGCGTAGAGGCCTGCTTCTCTCGACGTCACAGAGCTGATTTTCAACTTGGAATGAAAAGTGTTGAAGCCTGGTTGATGTTCAAGTTCGATGGTGTAAGGATTTTTAAAAGTTTTGTAAATGTTGGATGCGTCATCATCGGAGCTGAGTTGTACGTAATCGTCATGATCTTTGGAGTCGGGCAGTGGTAGTGATGTGACAAACGCCAATGATGGATGTTGTTCTTGACGTAAAACTTTCAGCTGAATTGGCGTCAACCTTTTGAACCACTTGGTACAATTGAATGATTTAAAAAAAAAAGTTTTTAAAGTTAGTTTCAAATTAATAAAATTGAAAGTAGTTGATTGAAAGGAGACATGCACCACTTTATAGGATTTAAACATGTGATAAATGGTGTAACCCTAATAAAGGATACCTTAGCTTACAGATTTTTGCAAGATTATTTTACGATATAATAAATTTTTGAACAACAAACAATATTCAGCAAATTTTAAAAAAAATTAATTTCTCATCTACAAATTTTTTACTAGTTTAAATTTCATATAAAAAAACATCGCTAAAAAAACATCGGGTCAATCAAGAAAAATTATTTTTAGTTTCAGTACAGAAATAGCCAAAAATTTGAATAGCTGATTTTTTGTCATCCTTGTAATGGCTTTACTGCTTTTATGCAATATTAAAACATTTTCGTCTTGATTGTGTTTGATGCAGGCCAAACACGAAAAAGTGTGGGCAACTTTGGTGAGTGAAGAAACATATGAAAAACTGGTCTCGGTATCAACGAGGCTCAACGAAGACTCAACAATGGTTGTAAAAATTAGTGCAAAACTTAGAAATTGGATAAAAAAGGAACTGGAAGCCGACAAAATTATACATCAAAGTACTATTATTGCCAGCATTATTGGAAAGAGTATTGAAAAAATTGGAAGCATATTTGATGGATGGAATGAAAGATGGAAATTCTCAAATTTACTGATGTTATTGAGGACAGTAAAAATTATGGATTGGATTTCGAAACAAAAACAAACAAATTTTAATAGAAGCAGAGCAATATTCCACATTTGAAAAACTAGAACAAGTTTAATTATTTGTGTAAATAGGCAGTTTTATAAATAACCATCAACAAATGCTAAAAACATTGATAGTATGTATGTATAGTATAGCTATGGTAGCGTGATGGTCTAATTATTAAAGTCTGGTGCTGTTCCGCATTAACCGGGTTTGAGTATGGCAAAAAGATCCCCGCCAATCACATGCTTCGTGTGTGATGCTTCGTTAAGCATGTATTCATATACGACGTATGTGCGCTTTGTTGAATCCTCTGAGCTTTAGAAGAGTTGTAATTGACCTTTAACCTTTTTATTGCGCAAGGAACGTTTTAAACGTTGAAAATATTAGGAAAAATAATAACTCACCTATCAAAACGAAGTTGAAAATTATAGTAAGGTTTGTATGCATGCAATATTTTCTTGGACAATGAAAAACAGACACAAAACAGACTAGAAACGTTTGCAGGATGCCATGTGGCAGCCTAATTAAAATTGTGCTAACGACGAAAGAAAGTAAGACAAAAATTAAATGAACGACGCTCCAGCATGAACTTGGATGGAAACGTCGGATTCAATAAAATTGACTAAAGATAAAAAAAGATTTAGGAATTCGACAAGAAATGCGAATGTGACACTTTTCAACAATTCATCGTGGCTTGTTATTTAACGATAGATTGATTAGCGTTGATTAAATTTTTTGTCAGTCTTCTCAAACAAAGAAAGAAATATTAAAAGTCGTTTTTTCTAGTGCATTTGCTTCAGAGGTTTCAACAAAAAACACACGCAGCGTATATGAATAAGCTATAATAGACGGGGATCTCTGTGCATTCGAATCCATCACTGCAACAGCAGGACCGGGCGCTTTTAACCATTACGCCGTTCAAAAAAATGATAACTAATAGCGGATGACCATTACTTTAAAAGAATAAAAAGTGATAACATCTTGGGGTTTTTTATTAAACACTTTTACACTGTTGAAATTGTACTAGTTAAAAATGTTGAGGTTGTAACATAATGAAAGTCGGTACAAATTTTTGAAAGCAAGTAGCTGACCTTTATCCTAACGTCTTGATCGCTGGTCAGCCTGCAGGAGAGTTCCACTTTGCTGTCTTGAGGGGCTGTCTTGTTGGAGAGAACGTCGCCAAAAAAGACCAGTGACTCAGCCCCGTGCTCTGTCGTTTGAAATATCCAGTTACACAATCTTTTCAAGATAGAACGTTAAAATACAAAATATAGTTTCTTTCGACAGAGGACGAATGCAATGGAATATTTTTTGTGTTTCGTGTATTTCAACGTTGTTAAAGTTTGTAAAGCACGATTATTTAATTTTTATTTACGTTTTCTTATAGTTTGGTTACAAACATTGTTTAAACCATGTTTTATTCAATATTATACTTAACGATAATGCTCATTAAAAAAGTTAAATTGCAGTATTAGTTGAAACTTGAAATCTTCACATAAAATACAATTTGCCAGTTCACACAGCTCACGATGTGGGAAGAAATTTTCAAAAGAATATACTACCGAACTTCACTGACAGACAGTCAATCTCAGCGAAGTGGTCAACAAACAGTGATACTTGAAACTAGCATGCAAAAAGTAGCCTAGATAGGAACAAATAACGAAGCTGAAGAGTTGACATGTTTATACATTGATGTTTGTTCGTGCTGTTTTTGATTTGAAACGTGATTGCTGTTTATATACACTGTTGTGTCTAACTAACATAAATATGTGGCTTATGCATCAAATGTCTTAGTCTTAAATGTCCTTCTATCATCCCATGTATATATCGACTTCAGGGAAGATATTAAATTTATAAGTAGTTTCACTGTTAGCAGTTTGAATTGTAGTTATAAAATTCTGTTTGCAGTAAGCAAAGGTTTTGAAATTGAAATTATTAAAGTTAACTTAACAACAAACGTTGAAAAAGTACTCTGCCTGACGCGTTGAACAATCGCCAAAAGTTCCGGTGTTTTCATCGACTCAAAAATATCAGCAAATAAAATATTCATTCGTAGAGAACAATTCATATCGCTAACTTTAAAAAATAATTTGTTATTGATAAAATTCGACATCTCAAGTTGAACAACGTTGAGGTCATATCGCGTTAAGGGTCTTACACACTCACCAGTAAAGGTAAAAACGCGCGGAACGAGAGCCATATAAATATTTTAATATTACATACATTCAATATATATATACATATATATATATATATATATATATATATATATATATATATATATATATATATACATTGTCCTGCAAACATTTAAATATCAACTATGAAATTTCCATACCACTTTTTCATTGCCTTCTAAATGCAACTATCACCTTTATTAGCCTCATCAAGGACAGAGGCACTAAACGCCAAAATATTGTCATAGTTTTGAGATATATGGGTTAGTGTTTATTTCAAAATATTATTTAGACCGTTAGTGCTTTGTTTTTGTTGATGTCGTTACAATTTGAACTTTATAATCAAAAAGTTGGGTCAGTGACTCAACACGTCATGAGACTTGATTTGGCTTAGCACATCTGAAGCAAACTTTGCTGCGTGACTCAAGTATAACTTACATATTATTATCATTAATTAAAAAAATAATAGCATTATTGCTCAAGTGAGAACAATTGCAAGCACAGGAAAAACCCATATGCATAAGTTCAACCATATTATGTTAACAAAATTATTAAAAAAATAATAAATATAATGTAAATAATAATAGTGAAAAATAATGAACATTAGCAAAGAATTAATATGAAATTACTCTACAATATACCTTGAGGAAGCTCTTTTAGACAGAGTCACATTAATAAGGTCGCATTATTAGTCAACCCTGAAGAATCCATGGCTGAAAGAGTCACTATAATGGCACTTATCAACATAGGAATTGCAAGTACACGACCCACTAAAACAATTGATAATTGATTATCCTGAATCTGCCATTGACATTACAGGTTGTAGTGCAACAATAGCAAACAGCTTGATGGAACTGTGGCACATACTCAATCATAAGGCTAAAATGGAAGGAGGAAACGTTAGAAAACCAGCTTCTGATGAAAGTATGATTGAATACATTTCACAATTGGAGAATGACTTGATCAATAGATCAGGTTCCAACTAATTAAATATTGGAAAATGGTTTAGAAAAGGTGGTCTCATGCCAAAAATCATGAGGATTCAAAACAGTTCATTTTTTAAAAAGACTTTACGTACTTTAGATGTAACACCTCTAAATTTCACGCCTGATATGAGGATTCAAAACAGTTCATTCTTTAAAAAGAATTTACGTACTTTAGACGTAACACCTCTAAATTTCACGCCTGATATTAGTGGTGGAGGAGCTGCCGGAAAAGCAGTTGATTCTGCAATCCACAAAATAATATGTTCGGCAATTGCAACACAATAATTAGTTTTGAACATATTTTATGAGAACATGATTACATTAAAATTCATGTGGGACAGAGTTGATGAAGCTCTTTTAGACAGAGTTACATTATTTAAAAAAAATTATTTGGCTTTAATGTTATACTAACGATTGATGTTGAATTTGCATTCTACCAATAACGATCATTTTTTAATCTGTTACTGTGTTCTTATAACAAAAAAACAACTACTAATATTACTACTACTATGCCACTATTACTACTACAACTACTACTACAACTACAACATTAATAACGACTACAACCGCAACACAACCAGCAAAAACAGCTATAACTACAATGAAACTCCCATCATTACCAACAACTACTACTACTACAAAAACAACATGAACCACATTAACAACAAAACGTCGGTAGCAATCAAAGAAGAAGACTTCAACATGGTTTACCAGACGATGGGCGAAATATCAATCAGAAGCTTAGAAGACATCGTCGATATTTACGAAGAAAATAAAAAAATGAAAAAAATATGCGAAGACTTCCAACTGGGAGTTGCTCATTTGGAAAAACAACTCAAACTAGCACAGATTATAGAGAAAGAAACCAAAGAGGAGATGAAGTGTGTAACGACAAAATGCAAACTTTGAAATCAGGAAACGAAAAGCTGAAAGAAGATCTTAAAATGGCAATGAACAAGAACCCTAACAACAAAGAAGTTTCAGAAGATGATGCTGATAGAAAAACGTATAAGCTCTGTCTTTTGGACAAAATATGCCAACTGGCAAAAGAGCTGAAAGTTTACGAAGTTAAACGTACAAGCTCTGTCTTTTGGACAAAATATGCCAACTGAAAAAAAAGCTGAAAGTTTACGAAGCTAAAAACGACGCTTTAGAAGCGGAAAGAAGTGTCAAAAATATTTACTATAAGGTAGATAACAACAACATTAAACACATCAACAACAACCACATTGACATCAACAACATTGACATCAACAACAATCTGGATCTAAACTGCGAACATAACATCAACAACAATAACCTTATCATCAACAACAACATCGACGACGACTGCAGGAACATCCCCAACAAAATCGACTATAACAACATCAATGACAACAGCATCAATGGCAACAACAACCAACAAATCCTATTAGACGAACTGAATTTCATGCCTTACAAATACGTCGAATCCGACGATGGAGACGTCATAATAATTCAAGACTACGACAACTTGAATGATTTGAAATTTGAAAAAGGAAATAGAACAAATGAGAATTATGATGAGCAAACTGCAGCTAAAGATTATCAACCTGATGGGAGGATCGGATGTCGACACGAAAGAAGAATTGGACTAATGTGGAGATGGATTGATGACTGGCTGAATGAATGTACTGTATATAATAGTGTAAATAATTGACTTTATTTGCTAATTCATTTAATTTCATTTTTAATTATGATAATTATTATATCTTTATATTTCTTATAATGATGAAATGATAAAGACTGTTATAAGATCTATCGTATGGCATTTATTGTGACAGAAACAATTTATGATATAAATTTAAATATATTTCAACACTTTTATTTTGAATTGAACATAGTGGTTTTATATTGATATTTTATTATTTTAACATTTCATAGTTTTAATTATTAATTATTTATTACCCTGTTTGAATAAAAATTTTTTATTAATATTATTTTTAATATTATAAACTTATAAAAACCGCAATCAGTTTGTCATACGGATTATATAGTGACAGAAACAGCCCATAATACCATTTAAATATATTTTATTACTCTTATGCACTCATCAACGATAATGAGCATAAGAGAATCGTTCATTTTAATAGATTTCTTTTCTTTTTATAAAATTTTATAAATTATTTACAGTTATTTATCTACACTTTTATATATTATTAATAACTTTCGATAGATTTCATGTTGATTTTATCTTTTTGGTCAATAAAACATTATTCCCATTATTATAACTGTTATTATTAGCTGATGATAACCTGTCCTCATCAGACAAAGATTATTTTCCTGAATAAATTTTGTGAAAAAGAAAATATTTTACATTGGCTTTAATGATATGCTAACGATTTATGTTGCATTTACATTCTACTAATAACGATCATACGCTCTTTGTTGTTGCTGCTGGCAATGCTGCAAAAGTAACAATTGGTGATCTAATTCATTTTGTCGTTAAAGTTATGGTTTTGGTTTTTCACACGAATATGAAATGGTGCTAAAATATTACATAATTTCTAATAATTTGAATTATTTAAATAAAATATAGAGTTACAAGAATCTTAAACCACAATTTATTATCAATACAATGGATTTCACGCCTGATATTAGTAGTGGAGGAGCTGACAGGAAAGCAGTTGATTCTGCAATTCACAAAATAATATGTACGGCAATTGCAACAGAACAATTTGATTTGAACATATTATATGAGAACATGATTACATTAAAATTCATGTGCGACAGAATTGATGAAGCTCTTTTTGACAGAGTCACTTTATTAAAGTCTTGGTACAATCCTGAAGAATTCAGCTCTTTTAGCCACTAAAATGTCACATATCAACATAGGAATTGCAAGTACACGACCTACTAAAACAATTGATAATAGGATAATCAATTGATAATTGATTATCCTGAATCTGCCATTGACATTACAGGTTGTAGTGCAACAATAGCAAACAGCTTGATGGAACTGTGGCACATACTCAATCATAAGGCTAAAATGGAAGGGGCAAACGTTAGAAAACCAGCTTCTGATGAAAGTATGATTGAATACATTTCACAATTAGAAAATGACTTGATCAATAGATCAGGTTCCAACTAATTAAATATTGGAAAATGGTTTAGAAAAGGTGGTCTCATGCCAAAAATCATGAGGATTCAAAACAGTTCATTTTTTAAAAAGACTTTACGTACTTTAGATGTAACACCTCTAAATTTCACGCCTGATATTAGAGGTGGAGGAGCTGCCAGGAAAGCAGTTGATTCTGCAATCCAGAAAATAATATGTTCAGCAATTGCAACACAATAATTAGTTTTGAACATTTTTTATGAGAACATGATTACATTAAAATTCATGTGGGACAGAGTTGATAAAGCTCTTTTAGACAGAGTTACATTGTTAAAAAATTTTATTTGGCTTTAATGTTATGCAAACGATCGATGTTGCATTTACATTCTACCAATAAGGATCATACGCTCTTCGTTGCTGCTGCTGGTGATGCTGCCAAAGTAACAATTGGAGATCAAAATATAGTTACCCCTTCTTTTTTTGGCTGGTCAAATTAGGTATATATAGCAGAGGTTTTGATGAACAATCAACAACAATTATTTCCAACCAATAAAATAATTATTTTGAAATAACTTTTTTTAATCTGTTACTGTGTTCTTACAACAACAAAACAACTACTAATATTACTACTACTATGCCACAATTACTACAAAAACTACTACTACAACTACTACTACAACTACAACATTAATAACGACTACAACAGCAACACAACCAGCAACAACAACTATAACTACAAGGAAACCCCATCATTACCAACAACTACTACTACTACAAAAACATGGACATGAACAACATTAACAACAAAACGTCGGTAGCAATCAAAGAAGAAGACTTCAACATGGTTTACCAGACGATGGGCGAAATATCAATCAGAAGCTTAAAAGACATCGTTGATATTTTCAAAGAAAATAAAAAAATGAAAAGAATATGCAAAGACTTCCAACTGGGAGTTGCTCATTTGGAGAAACAACTCAAACTAGCATAGATTATAAAAAAAGAAGCCGAAGAGGAGATGAAGGTAATGAACGCCAAAATGCAAACTTTGAAATCAGGAAACGAAAAGCTGAAAGAAGATTTTAAAACGGCAATGAACAAGAACCCTGACAAAGAAAAAATTTCAGAAGATGATGCTGATGGAAAAACGTACAAGCCCTGTCTTTTGGACAAAATATGCCAACTGAAAAAAGAGCTGAAAGTTTATAAAGCTAAAAACGAGGCTTTAGAAGCGGAAAAAAGTTTTAGGAATATTTACTATAAGGTCGATAACAGCAACATTAAACACATCAACAACCTGGACATCAACAACAACCCCATTGACATCAACAACAATCTGGATGTAAACTGCGAACATAACATCAACAACAACGTTGACATCAACAACAATAACCTTATCATCAACAACAACATCGACGACGACTGCAGGAACATCCCCAACAAAATCGACTATAACAACATCAATGACAACAGCATCAATGGCAACAACAACCAACAAATCCTATTAGACGAACTGAATTTCATGCCTTACAAATACGTCGAATCCAACGATGGAAACGTCATAATAATTCAAGACTAAGACAACTTGAATGATTTGAAATTTGGAAAAGGAAATAGAACAAATGAGAATTATGATGTGCAAACTGTAGCTAAAGATTATCAACCTGACGGGAGGATCGGATGTCGACACGAAAGAAGAATTGGACTAATGTGGAGATGGATGGATGACTGGCTGAATGAATGTACTGTATATAATAGTGTAAATAATTGACTATATTTGCTAATTCATTTAATTTCCTTTCTAATTGTGATAATTATTATATTTTTATATTTCTTTTTATAATGAATTGATAGAAGATAATAAAAGATTGTCCCCATTATTATAATTATTATTAGCTGATGAATAACTGTCATCATCAGATAAAGTTTATTCTCCTGAATAAATTTTGTGGAAATGAAAATAATTTACTTTGGCTTTAATGTTATGCTAACGATTGATGTTGCATTTACATTCTACCAATAACGATCATACCGCTCTTCGATGTTGCTGCTGGTGATGCTGCCAAAGGAACAATGCGAGATCAACATGTAATTACCCCTTCGTTAATTGGCTGGTCAAACTTGGTATATATAGCAGAGGTTTTGATGAACAATCAACAACAATTATTTACGAATGACAAAGTAATAAGTTTAACAAACGGCATTTATTGCGACAGAAACAATTTGAATATATTTCACCACTCTGTACTTTTATTTTGAATTGAGCATAGTGGTCTTATATTGACATTTATTTATTTTATTTTACCATTTCATAGTTTTAATTTTTTATTACCCTGGCTTTGAATAAAAGAGATCTCATTAATATCCTTATCATTATTATTATTATTGTTGTTATTATCGTTATTATCATTTTGTATAATTATATCAATAGCCAGAATTGATTAAAATACTGTCAAATCAAAGTACCATCCAGGGTGAGCCATCCTTTGTTCTTCTTCACGCTGTGTTTGTCGTTGTAGTTGTTCGTGTTGAGATCGTCTTCCACGCAGTACTTGTTGTATTTCGGATTGTCCACGACGTCGTCAAAATCAGCACTGCTTTCTGAGAAGATTTTTGTGTGAATTAAATATATTTAAAAATACAAAATGACATTTCAACAACTATTTACAATAAAAATTAAATACGTGCAAATCATCATCAACCTGTCTGTTCATTAGAAGTGTGTGTGTGTGTGTTTTTGTTTGTTTGTGTGTGTGTGTATGAGTGTGTGTGTGTGGTGTTTATGCGTGTGTGTGTTGTATAGAGACCATATTTAACTTTTATACAATACTGTATATATATATATATATATATATATATATATATATATACAAGCATGTCTTTCATGAATAATTCATGTAATTTGTGTGATTTTGAGCTAAAACGTATATATTTAGACACTCAGCAATGAGAAACATGCGAACAAACTGAAACCATCAGACAAGCGGAAGAAAGAACATCGCTGAAAATCTGTTTGTTTGTTTATTTATTTATTATTTCTAATCATAGATATGCACCTGCACTGAACGATGTGTCTCATTAATCCATTGAAATTGAACATATATCTCTAAATCCTTTCTTCAGTTCAGTTCATTCAATTCGGCGAATGTTTTCATTAAACATTTACTCGTGCACGTCTGGTGAGTTGGCACACAAAAGCCCGCTTAATACTCGTTTGTGTACATGGCATAATTTCGTCTTATAAAATTATAAATATAAGTGTAAATATAAATCTTATTACATATGTAATAAGAAAAATAAATATGATAATAAATATTATTAACAATTTAATGCGTATGTAAATATATAAGAACACAATATTTATCAACAGTAAAAGTTGTGATAAGAGTTGTATCATCCTGATTAACTGATCCCGGATTTGAAAGTTATGTGTATACAACAACAGAACTGCTCTACTCCTCGTAAATGGACTCTTACAAAGAAATCAACTAATGTATGAGATGTCCTTTTGACAAACGCAATAACGATTACAAAAAAGCAAAGCATAATAGAAACAATAAAACATCAGCAACAACATTATCAATAGCAACATTAAGAAAGAAATAATATTCCACTACGGAAGCATCGAGAATAGTACGTACAAAATTGATGAAAATAAAAAATACCACACTGAAACTTCGCACTCAATATAGCAATGCAGAGACCGAAAATCTTATACCGAAACTGCAAAGCCATAAATGTCAGCTAGTCAACTCTAGATGGGACGAGAAATCTAAGAAGAATAGAAGCAGCATCAGATGTGATGTGATAACGGGTCTAAAATGTTTTACGGAACAAAGAGGGTAGTTGTGAGATTTGTTCTGAAATAATAATTTAACAGTAACAAAAAAAACAATACAAACTGTAATTATAAGAATTCTCATTATCATTAATTTGTAAAATGATTATTTTCACTACAATTGAAAATAATTGATACAAATTAAAAATAAATTACAAATAATTTAAAAATAGGCTGACCTGCAATACAAAGCAAATAATAGCTGACGACAGATCCGAATCCATTAGTAGCCACACACGTGTAATTGCCCATGTCAGACATGTCCACTTTCGAAATTACCAGTGTGTCATGTTTGACTTGAAACCTGCTCCAACCTATACCTATCAAACGATCATTCTTCCGCCATTCGATCATCAAATCGTTTGCTGAAGGTGAAAAAGACCACGATGACGTCGATGAGTTTGAGTATGTTGAATCAGTTGGACGCTTCTGTTGCTGTTTCTTTTGTCGTTGATGTGGTTGCTGCAACGGACACACCATTGTTACCGATCCACCAGCAACGTTTTTTATCGTTCTTGGAAATTTTTCCAGCAATCGAGGTGGACCATCAATTGAAACGACATTCGTGTCGTAGTTGTCAGTGTTGTGGGCCATGTTCAACATGTTTTTGTCAGCGGCAACATATGAGGCAGTCAAAACCGATACCACAAAAACAAGTAGTCTTTTCAAACATTGAAAATATTCTAAACGTTTGGTCATCATGAAAAATGAGAACTAGGTTTTATTCTGGAAGATGTGTTAAGATTATAATAAATAATTATAAATATTATTATTATTTAATATTATATATTATTCCTATTATTATTAATATTATTATTACTATTTAAATAATTATGAAGCGTTAATTAACTGAATTTCAAATGCATCATATAGCAGAAACTTAACACAACATAATAAATGAAATAACAAATAAAAAACATATTGTACAGAAATTTAAATTTTGTCGTGAACAAAAAATTTTTCAAAAATGTAGCTTATATTATATATATATATATACATACATGCATACATAAAATATATATGTGCATATACACACACACACAACATATATATATATATATATATATATATATATATATATATATATATATATATATACATTACCCGCCATAGGCCAGACGTACGTTTCGTCTCTCACGCCTGCCGAATAAGTTTTAAGATAACACAACTCAATTATTGTAACCAAGAAACTCAAATTGAGGTGTCGCGACCAATAGGTAAGAACAACATTACGTTGTTACAAGGTTTAACAACCCATTCAGTCGCAAGAGGTATTATTGGTAAATATATATATTTATGACAATGACAATAATTTAGGGTTTGCCAAAAAGCAGGGAGATTGAAGTTCAGAAGAACTTTTACGGTCCCCGGTAAATAAAGAGAAATAAAACATAAATAAATCATAAACTTTGAAAATTATGAAAATGAATTATGTAGAAAAATAATGTAGTTTAAAACACATACATATACATTAATATAAATGGAGATTATTACATGTAGGTAAAGAGTTAATTGTTGTATATATTACATAGTTCCTCACTAAGTATATTATATGAAACTGAAAGAAACTAAAATTAAAATAAAATTAGTAGTAATAAACATAAAGGAATAAGAGGTTAATAAATGGTTAATATTTGAATATAGATAGAAGTACGTATATGCATATACAGAACATGAATAATAAACATATACACTGTAAATAAAGCTTTGTATCGAACATACCAAGTCATAAAAACATATTAAAGTTTATACACATACATACCCATGCGTGGCTTGGTACATACACATTTATATACACATATATATACGTTTATATATATATATATATATATATATATATATATATATACATACACCTATATAATATGTTTGTAGATTTAAAAAATTGAAAAAACGATCTACAAGCATATTAACGCCAAACATTCGGTAGAATTTATAGAATATTGTAAAAATTATGGTCTATTACTAACACACACACACACACATATATATATATATTTATATATTTATATATATATATATATTTGACATTGGGCATATTTATTTCATCAAATCAAAAAAAAAATTAAAAAAATGATATCAATGAAAAGAAATGATCTGGAAATCGAAAAGAAAATATGGTTTTCTTCTTGTAATGATCACCAGTGACAATTGTAAAAATGAGAGCATGCATATTTTAATATTTTAGTACATGCAAAATCACATTCATAATACAAATCCTAAAAATAACTAAAAATGGAATCAAAATAATTAGGTAATCAACTCTTTTACATTTTTATCAGAACGTCGTTTGTAATTTGGCTGGCGAGATGGCTCAGTGGTTCAAATGCGCGCTGAATCAAACATCTCAATGGCTATCATATACTCAGCGTATATGATGCGGTGCTTGCGCGTGCAAATAAAATACATGTGTACGTCGTGTGAAAAGGATAAACAGCTTTTGTGGCGAAGACGGCTGCTTCAAATCAATAGATGAGGATTTGAAGAACATAATAAAAGATATACAAGATAATGTATATGTAATACTGTAAGTGGTTCTGCGTATGTCGGAGCTGCAATAATAAAGACTAAAAGAAAGAAAAATTATTAAAACATAAATATATATAGACTCACGCAAAACATACTTATACATACACAGTTACACACACATATATACACGCACGCACACACATGTGCACACACAAACACACGTACATAAATATATATATATATATACGTAAGAGATATTATTGGTATATATATATATATATATATATATATATATATATATAAGTGAATAGTTAGCTAAGCATGCTAAAGTTTCCGGATGAGGAATGGTAACCGCTTGGAATAAAACGACCACCAACCGAAATGACACGATATAGAAGATGGCGAAAGAAAAAGATGGATGGCGAAGGGTTGTTTTGGCCTCTTTGGCTGATAAAGCAGATAAAGAGGATATATATATAAATAAATAAATAAATAAATATAAATATAAATAAATAATGGGCTTAAACATAAGTTATATATGCCCATATCAAAATAGCACTAAAACACAACATAAAGCAATCAAACAACAATGTCAATTTTATGATCATAGAGGAATTCTTTGTTGGCCATATATAAGTCAAAATTCCTCTTCAAGTTGGAAACAGTATCTGATTTAACAACGCATGTCGGTAAATTGTTCCAAATAGAGATCACGAATACTTTCTTGTATTTGTATGGAACTTTTGAACATGTATTCTATAGCGATGCCCTCTGGTACGTGGATCCGCATCAAAACACAAAGCTGATGAGGAAAGACCATACCATACCCTTCGCAATGTTGAAAATCATTATAATGTCTCCACGAACTCTTCTAAATCTTAAAGGGAGCTAGCCAAGAAACTTCAATCGATCCGAGTACCAGAGGCCTTTGCAATCCTTGACCATCTTGGTTGTCTGTTTCTGAACCCTTTCCAAACCGTCAATTTCTTTTATTTTCCAAGGAGACCATACACTGACACATACTCTAACTTTGACCTAATTAAAGATTTATAAATCAAAATAAATGACTCATTAGTTAAATTTTTAAAGTTTCTATATAACAATCCTAAAAGAACAAAACATTTATTAATGACATTATGTATATACTTAGAGAAGCTCAGTGAACGTTCTAACAAAACCCCCAAATCGTTTACTTCACCAAAAATCTAAGTTGGAATTATTAATATGTGAACATCAATTATTATCCAAACATGAATGACTAAATTTTATAGCTGCACCCTTTTCAATATTCAAATCGATTTTTCATAACATACACCAATCATAAAATTTTTCAAGATGTTTTTGTAGCACTATTCTTTCATCCACACATCTTATAAAATTGAACATTTTAGCATCATCAGCATACAAATACATTTAACAGAACTATCTTTCACAATATCAAATATGTCATTCACATACACAATAAACAAAGCCGGACCTAATACGCTTCCTTGAGGCACTCCACTACTAACTTCAAACTTTTTAGACAAACATTATTCACTCTCACACTAAAAATTCTACCACACAAATACTCCTTAATCCATTCAACCAAATATATGAAGCCATATATATATATATATATTAGGGTGGAGTGAAAAATTTTTTTTTCGAAATTTCAAATGCCTGTGTTGTCAAAAGATGTCTTTTAGGTCAATTAATAAATCACTAAAATTTAAACCACTTTTGTATACGTCTTGAGGTTCCTCTAGGCTCCTTTAGATTTTCACTATTAACACAAGTAAAGTCTCGACTATTAACGTATAAAAATGGTCGATTCTGCTCAAAAATACTACACAGTACACAACATCTCCTAAAATTCTTGATTATGCTTAGCAACAATGAAAACTAATATATAAATCTGAAACAATTCAATTTCATTTGTATGCACATCTCTAATTTTTGCTAGATTCCTTTTCGCAGTTACCATTGACGACCAAACTGATTTTATACTTTTTTTTCAAATATAAAATGCCTAAAACACGTAAAGAATTATTTTGTGAAGTTTTTGGTTTACCTACTGATTTGCTAGGAAATGTCCTTCCTACAAACTCTGACGTAATGAAGTGTTATTTGTGGAATAGGAATTTGCTAAAAGAAAGTGCCAATGGAAAAGATCCTAGCGTAAATAACATTTCGCGACTTATTTTAACCGAATTAAAACAGATCTGGCAAAAAGCATCAATTCCAATCATTTCAGATCAAAGAATTTTAAGCTTGATAGCAAATCTGAATCAAAAATATAAATCAATAAAAAAGAACATGAGAAAGTCGCAAGAAAAAACGCTCGCGTTTAGAGAAGTCAGTGAGAA